CATATTTTTCTCCTTTAGTGCTCTGAAGATATCATGCCAGTCCTTTCTGGCCTGCCAGGTCTCTGTGGATAGGTCTGCTGCCAACCTGATATTTTCACCATTGTAGTTTGCAAACCTATTGTCCTGAGCTGCTTTCAGGATTTTCTCTTTGTCTCTGAGACTCCTAAGTTTTACTATTAGATGTCGGGGTGTTGACCTATTTTTATTGATTTTTGAGGGGTGTTCTCTGTGCCTCCTGGATTTTGATGCCTGTTTCCATCCCCAAATTAGGGAAGCTCTCTGCTATAATTTGCCCCAATATACCTTCTGCCCCTCTCTCTTCTTCTGGGATCCTAATTATTCTAATATTGTTTCATCTTATGTTATCATTTATCTCTCGAAGTCTGCCCTCATGATCCAGTAGTTATTTATCTCTTTTTCTCACCTTCTTTATTCTCCATCATTTGGTCTTCTCTATCACTAATTCTCTCTTCTGCCTCATTTATCCCAGCAGAGCCTCCATTTTTTATTACGCTTCATTAGTAGCCTTTTTTATTTCGATTTCAGTTCTTTTATTTCTCCAGAAAGGGTTTCTCTAGTATATTCCATGCTTTTTTCAAGCCCAGCTAGTATCTTTATAATCGTCATTCTGAACTCTAGTTCCGACATCTTACTAATGTCCATATTGATTAGGTCCCTGGCAGTCAGTAATGCCTCTTGTTCTTTTTTTTTTGAGGTGAGTTTTTCTGTCTTGTCATTTTGTCCAGAGGAGAACAGATGAATGAGAGAACAAAATGCTAACAGGGTAACAACAACCCCAGAAAAATATGTACTAAACATATCAGAAGAGACGTTCCAGAAAGTGGTCACTTTTCTGTTCAGAGAGTTGCTGCTACTCTTTTCTTCGATCTCCTGTTGAGTTTGTAGGTGTTCAGAATGGTTTGATCCCTATCTAGCTGCATTCCTGGGACCAGATGAAATTTAGGTGTCCTACTCTTCGGCCATCTTGCTCCTCCTCCCCATTATTTTTTTTACTAGAATAAATTTAGTGTCAGATTTCATGACTTGCTTAATGTCAGCCAAGTGGTAAGTGGTGGAAACAGAACTCTAACATATTTGCCTATTCTCTCTTTCCAGTACATACTTTAGGGTGGGGAGGAGAGGTAGGTTTTTTGAAAAGTAAGCTAGTTTGTGATTACAAAAATTAGGTTCTTTTCCAACCTATGGGAGAGGGCCCTGAGAGAATGTGGGATTATTGTAAGAAATTCAGGTATACACACACACACACACACACCCCAATAATTAGCAGAAAATCGGCAGAGAAGGTGGCAAGAGGACTCAGTCCCCTTTACGTAGTTAAGGCTCCTAGAGTAAAGAAATCCCCAAAGCACCCAGAACCTGGTGGTGGTTTATATCTGACCATCTCAAACTCTTGATGGTGAGAGACCAGTACTAGATTTTGTTCCTTCAATCTGTTTTGGACTAACATGTGTTTAAAAAAAAAAAAAACAAATCTCCCTTCCCAAAACACACCCAATGAAAATAGAATACTCTTAATTTCCACACTTGTTTCATGGAAGACTGGTAACAAAGAGTTGACATTCCCTCACAGTCTATAGACCATATTTTGACTAGCATTGGTTTAGATTTTTAACATATTAAAAAAAACTACAGTTGAAAAAATTGTATTCATGCTATTTTAGTACAGTATTTGTAAATCAATCCACAGTGTGTTCTAGGTGGTGAGGACCAGTAGTATTGGGACATATGTTTAAACATGTGTGGCGAACACATTCTTTGTTCAATGCTGTCAGTGCATTTCTGAGACCTACAGCATAACCTCATTTAGAGACAGCAACCAAAGTCTATACTTAAGGCACTTTCTTGAGGCACAGATCACACACTTATGTCCTAATGTTTTTCTTATGTGCTACTTTTGTGATAAAACATGACTTAGGCAATAGCTCTAAAGAATTTATATTCACTGTTTGAATCACCCTCCCCCATTCAGTCAGTATTGAAAGGACAACTGTTGTGGGAAAATAAAAAATTTGACATTAAAAATTGAAGTCCTTATACTTGAAATCTTCGATAACTACGTCTCCACATAGACATTGAAGGATTTGGGTGAAAGTTGGCTAATTCCACTATGTTTGTGGAATCTCCATCTCCCCGGGGACTTTAGTGTCCTCCAAAGGCTCACCGTCTGTTCCCAGACCCCAGATTTTCCATGAGAAAAAGCAATGCCTCGTTTATTCACTCCATAACTTCCAGTGTGCCAGGCAGGGTGGTGAACAGTGGCTTCTACTCTCAGGAAGCTCAGGAGGAAGCAAGTGGAGGATCTGAGTCAGTTCAACAGAGTTCCAGGAGTGGGAGTTGGGAGCAGAACTAGTGTTCACCCCAAGGCCCTCCCCTGCTATGAGGTGTGTGGAACTGGCACGTGGACCCCCTCATGTACCTGACCCTGAATGAGCTCTTCTGACCCTTGGGCCTGGGCCCAGGTGGTCTTTTATTTAACATAAGAACTGGGCTTCGTGCACAGAAGTGATAATAGGAAGTTAAATGCCTTAAGAACTTGGTCCAGATTTCCAGGCAGAGCAGAACGTGAGGCTGTAAGCTGGCTTTCTTGGCATGAAGCAGCGACACAGAGCATCTCAAGATGACGAGGCTGGCTGGCAGCCCCTAGGCACAGGGACCATTTTTGTTCCTGAGATTGGAAAACACTTTAATTTTTGTGAGTTGAGGCATAGACAATTCTCCATGGTGAAAATGGGCTTTTTTCCCCCGCCTACTGACGTCTGCAACCAGGTACAATGTTTGCACTTCTCACACATGGGGGAAATTCCCCTAGACCCATGCTTCTCAAAATGAATGAACATGTGAATAACCAGGGGATCTTGCTGAAATGCAAATTAGGTTCAGTTGGTCTGGAGCTGTGCCCAAGATTCTGTGTTTGCAACAAACTCCCTCCTGGGTGATGCTGAGGACACTGTTCTGCAGTATTGCTGGTTTGTGGGCAGAGCTTTTAGGAACAGGGGCCTGGAAAGCATGGGAACTGACCTCACCTGCTTTTGTGGAAGATACTGATTTCTGTTTCATTCCCACTTGTGTATTCCACTCAACACAATGTCTATAGTGGCGTTTTCTTTTCTCAAGGGTCTTATGTAATATGGGAGAGTTGTATGTATTGGTTGATGTGTTTAATCATTTAAAAAAAAATCTTTGTTGTGCTTTTAAGTACATCTTCAGGGCAAAATGTTAGCTGTCAGGCACAATCAAGTTCTGCTCAGTCCCGCATCATTACAAAGTATTGCTTTGACCCACATATCTTGTGTGTCTCGCATATAGGGGGGGCAGTCCAACATAGTAAATCCTAATGCAGAGAGCTTGGCAATCCAATCACAGAATGACAGACTCTCATGTTATGTTCAGTGATTTGATTCTTCAGCAACTTCTTAACTATGGATGCATTAGAGAGTAAATCTGTAAAAGGAACTAAATCCATTGATTATATTGTGGGCATCAGATATAGTTCGTCATTTGAGCTTCCAGGGTTAAAAGCAATTAGAGAAATCTGAAAACAAATTCCATTTTGATGCTTTGTCCCTTTTGAGCTACATTAGATGGTTTCAGTAAAGGAAGTAAAGGCTCAAAGTTTATTCAAAATTAAACTCAATGTGATTTCAGGAGAATCGGGGCTTCATATCACAATATGTGCTTATATGCCCCCATCCTTTATTCAGTGCAGTACATCCCAGGCCAGTGAGTGGCTTTTGCATCAGCTTTCTGAGCTGATGTTAGTAGTTTCTAATGAAAAGATAATCATGTAACATAGATCAAACTCATCTTCCAAAATTATTTTTAGTGGATTGGAGGAGTGGCTCACTTAGTGTCTCTAATTTCTTCATTTATTTTTATAGGTCACATTCCACCCCTAAAATATTCCATGGGTCTGTCAGCAACTTTGATTGAAGCAGAAATTAATCTTATCAAATATCTTGATGAAGGCTTGGAAGAGTCCTTGCTTCAACAGGGTTTTGTGGTAATGGTATTCGTCTTAATCAGATTTGGCTGACAAATCTCTCACAGAATTTTAGAAGGAAAAATAATCTAACTGACTCATTTTACCCATGTGAAATAGCTGGGGAGTTTGCCTAAGGTCACCTGGGCCTATCCCAGTCTGTCCTCCCTCCACCCCCACCATCTCCACATCCCTTAAGGATGTGATGCACTGGCTTTGAGGCCCAAAGCAGCAGGTTTTCCACCTTTCCCAGTGGGAGGCAGGGTGTTCCGTCTAACACCATTCACTGTAGTCCCATAGCATCCAGATTCGGCCTTCTAGCAGAGTTGCAGTGCACTCACTCGTCTCTGGGGAGATAAAATAGTGTGGTAGGAGCCCTGATTCTATAGCCAGGTGGCCTGGGTCAAATGCTACCTTGCTGTATACATCTTGTGTGACTTTGGGCAGGCCACCGAGGCTCGGTGCTTCTGTTTCTTTAGATGTAAATTGGGGACCTTCCTCATAGGATCGTTATGAAGACTGAATGAGTGAATACCTGCTGAGCAATTATGGCTAACATTCAGGTGCACTGTATGTGGAATTATATGTGGGTTTGTGAATGGTGGTTCTCCACTAGGTATTGAGTTGTTAAATCAGTGTTCTGAATCATAAATAGCTTTAGAAAAGTTAAATGGCCCATAACAGAATAAAATAGAACATATTAGAGTACACTGCATCTATGCAGGGTGTTGTTTGGTGTCTCTTTGGCTTTCTTTTTAGTGTTCCTTTGGCTGTGTGTGTGTGTATGTGTGTGTGTGTGTGTGTGTGTGTAATGGTTCACAGGGTAAAAATGTATTTCTCACTGTGGATTGTAGTTAAGAGTTTAGAAGTCCCTGCTCCAGGGACTGGAGTGAGCTAATCCATTTCTCTAAATGCAGACCTATGGGGTAAATGCGGCACATTTTAGACATGAATGTACAAGATGAGCTCTGGCTGAAACTTAAATGTGCTTCTTTTGCAGAGGGAGACCAAAGGGCAGTTTCTTATTGACCACATCTGCAACTACTACAGCTTGCTGGAGAAGGACTATTTTGGGATTCGTTATGTGGACCCAGAGAAGCAGCGGGTAAGAGCCAACCTCTGTCTGGATCCATTTGGGGGAGTGACTCACACTGTGGGTGACCAGAGAGGTTCCTGTCAGAGCAATCATGATGTATTCTTGTTCTCATGGTCATTGACCACTTGAAATATATATTCATGACATATTTGGATTCAGTGATATATGTCCCTCCATCCTGAAGGTCCCAGGAATCTCCATCCCAGCTCCCACCACCTGGGGTTTCCCATTCCTGTAACCCTGCTGTGGGTCCCAACTATGGATTAGGATGCCCTGTACCTGCTCTGATCTCTGCTTCTTAGCCTTCCCCACAGCCAAGCAGGGCAGTGTGTGTGAAAGGGTTAGCTGTGGGTGCTCTGGGACTGGGGCGGGGGGAACAAGTCCACTCTGCCTTCTTTAATTTGTCTTCCTCCTGTTGGTGTCCCTGGTCATCTTTCTCTCCCCTCTTCCCTCTCCACAGTCCCACTTGGTTCTTAGTTTCATATACAATGAGAGGCTTACAGCGTGTATTCTTGTAAAGGAGCAGGCTGTTTAAGGAACAGTTTAGATTTTGTTCTGAAAGCTGGGGAATTGTACTTAGCTTCAGTCCAGTAGGACCTAATCTTCTTTAAACACATACCATGCGGTGGCTCAGAAAGATTTTGCTTTCCTATAGCACTTGCAGGAACTCTCTAATGGTTCAAACATTTACCTGAGTGAGAGGGAGGTAGCAGGATACTAGTGAGGATGTAGGAATGACATGAGGTCACACAGGGGATTCATGTGACATTTTCTACTATTCATAGTTGTTCCCAGACCTGGCCCTGCAACAAAATCACCTTAGGAGTTTACTAACAATGCTGATCGTAGACCCTCTTCTGGACCTCCTGAATCAGAATCCTTGGGGCTAGGACCAGGAACATGTATTTTAGCACATCCTGATTCTACTTTTGATGCAGCCATCTCAGCTTTGGTCTTCAGGCTGATGTTGGGGACCATGGCATAAAGATATTCATAGATATAGCTTCTTGTGGCTTATGAAGATATTACCCTTTTTTGGAGAGAGAAACAGTTTTGTAGATATCTGCCCAAGGTCTCACAGCTAGTAAGTGATGGAGGGAGTATTGAGTTCCCTGTGGGTCAGACTCTGTGGACTATATTAGTCATCTAACCACCACTGACTATAGATTCTTTTTGTGCAAAATCCCATCCTAAACTCTAAACAAGCAACCTTCAGAAGTAATTCTAGCTACCATTAGTTGAGCATCTGTCATATGCCAGGAATTCTGTCATGGTCTCTAGTCTTCTCTACAACACTGTAAGGAAGGGGAAAACTGAGGTACGGAGGGTCAGTGGCTTGTCTAAGGCTACATGGCTAGTAATTAATGGTGGAAGAATGATATCTGAACCCACATTCTTTCCACCCATCTCCCAAGTGAAAATTTGAAACCTAACCTAGACCAGGGATTTGTAGACCTTTTCTGTAAAGGACCAGATAGAAAATATTTTCACTTTGTGACCCATACAACCTCTGTCATAATTTTTCAATTATTTTATTCTAGTGGAAAGTGGCCATAGACTATACCTAAATTAATGGACATAGCTGTGTTCTAATAAAACTTTTTTCTAGTAAAAGTATTTTATAAATAGGCAACTAGCCATGTTTGCTGACCCTTAGCCGAGATAATATCTGGAAACCACTTTAATGCATAAGCTGTTTTTATTTCTTTTGACTCATTGGGAAGATATTAGATAACCTATTAAGAGAATTCTTTAGAATTGGAATCAGATGTTGGTATGAACTCATGGTTTTTCAAAAAATTATACATAGACAGAAATATAGATGTGCGGGTGTGCATGTGGGCTAGTATGTGTACGTATATAGTTCCAAGTTCTATTTTCTGAGATGGCCTAGAAGCAATGACACTACAGTAGCAATGAGCACACCTACCCCCTAGATCTTGGTTTCTAAATATCCTTTTCTAATAAAAGGAACAAGGTCCTTGAAAATGTGTCTGATTCTAGGGCAGAGTCAGGGACATCACAAGATGAGCCTGGAGCATGTTTTCATGCCAGAAAGTAAGGAACTGCTCGGAAGATAAAAGGTCACTAGAATGACACAGAGCCAACCAGAAAGAACTGCCAGTGACCAAAAATGGAAAATTAGAGGGACAAAAGAGAAATAACAATAGCATTGGATTATAATCCATAAAGTAAAATATCCATGAGCCATATGGATATAAGTAATTGAATAAATAAATAAAAGGGGGAGAAGAGATGGCTCTTCCTTACAGATGAATTCCAGTTAATAAGTGTAGAAGGAATGAGAGATGATTGTACACAATGATTGTTGTATACAAGATTCATTGATGAATGCTAAAATTAGTGGGCAGAAGTTTGAGGAGAAACAAGATATCTGTATAGTCTCAAAGTACTCCTCCCTGCCCCCCATATCTTTTGATTACAAAGGGAGAAAGACTAACTTTATAGTGGTGAAACCTGGCAGGCACCACTTTAACTAAGCCATCAAGGTTATCACCAGGGAGAAGACATTCCAATATCACGTATCCCCTGATTATCCTGCATTGAGGAGGGCACGTCATCCCTATGGTATTCTTCCCAGTAATGCTTCACTTCATTCAAATCTTGAGGAAATGTAGGAGAGCCTGAAGTGAGAGACATTCTCCAAAACAACTTAACTATATTCTTCAAAAGTATTGAGGTCATGAAAGACAAGGAAAGACTGTGGAACTCTCATAGATTAGAGAGACATATCAACTAAGGCCATGTGGGATTCTGGATTGGATTCTGGAACAGAGAAAACTCTGACAGTGGGAAAACTGATACACTCCAGATTAAGTCTGTAATTCAGTTAATAGCATTGTGTTAGTATTAGTTTCTTAATTTCAATAATTGTACTGTGGTTACGGAAGATGCTAACATTAGGGGGAGAGGGTGGTTATATTTATACCTTAGTCATATGTTTAAAATTATTTAAGTTAAAAAGTGTTTAGGTTGATGTGCTTCATTGTTCTTTATATTTTGACTTGGTTAAGCTTAATTTTTAATGTCTAGATTTGGGTAGTGGATTAGTGGAAGAAATGTGGGCCGCACTCCAAACAAAACTGTCTTATCTGATGTATCCACTAAATTGCTTACAGGATTGCTTGAATCATTTCCCACCCTGCATCATAGCCTTTTCTAGACTTTTGATTCTGAGGATTCATTGGGAGTGTAGCTTTCACTTGGGTTGCAGAGTAGTTACTACACGAAACCACATGGACTTTGTACTCAGAAAGATGTGCATTAAATCCCACCTCTGCTGGTCAGTAAGCTGTGTGATCTTGACCAAGTTATTGAGCTTTTCTGAGTCCCTGTCCTGATGTTTAAAACAGATAACAGTACCCACCTGTAGGGTTGATATGGGAATTCAAGATAAAGTTTAACAAATGGTATATACCGAGTACATGGTATAGGTTATTTTTATTGAGTCTTATAATTATTATGCATTGGCTTGGTCTAGGTGAGGCAATCATATGAAGAAATTCAACCATGGATAGGAAGTCTAAAATCTAGAAATGTTCAAAACTGCTTTTAAAGGCAGGATGGCCATTGTTACGATCTTTGAGGAGACAGGTATGAGCCTTGGATAATTAGAAGAATGGGCTCAGAGGCACAAAGATATGCTGATATGGGAGTTTTAAGCAGAGATGAATTGACCAGCATTGGCAGTTTTACCAGGTCGTGTACTTTTTCTCAGTGGAAACTAAAACCGATGGATTATTTGGATAGAAAGCTAATCGACAGAAAATTTAGTTAGAAAAGCTGAAGTGGAACTTACCTTTGCTGTGGGAGTTGGTGGTTTGCCTACAACTCTTCACAACTTGATTTACAGTAAACCATTGTGGAATATTAAATATTTAGCACTATTACATTTGGAACACCATATGTTTGACAAGATGTCTCATGCCCCATATGCTCTGTGATGAGGACTGAGTCAGTAAATGATGACGATCTTTTGCTATTTTAGTGGCAAGGGTTCAGAATTTCCATTAGTTTTAAAATTTGATGTAGGGAGGGGCAGATTGAACACTGGTCAGTAAAAATCCCAAGTTTCTACCATATTCTTTTTTTTTTTTTTAACACTGAAAAATGTTTATTGCTTTGACTGAGTTGGCTGAAACAAAGTGGGAGAGATATAAAATGTGAAAATATTCTTAGTAACACAAAGATACACAACTCTTATATTAGTGTGTAATATTAAGTGTCAAATATGTTACATACATTTTGAAGCAAAATTAAAACTATCAGTGTAATTATAAAAATAAATCCACTTTTGGAAATGGAAGGAATTAAACTATTTCCTGTGCTGCTCCTAAGTACAGGCGGCACTTTTCTCATTTTAAAATATTTCTTTACCTGGTGTGGTTATAATATTATTCCAATTTTTAAATGGGCTAAATGAATTGCTTTTCAAAATTCTTTGAATGTTTTCCTTACTCTATATAGTTTATACAGAACCTGAATATATTCTGATAGATCTCTATGAGCATCTGCAGGTGAACAGTTCTTTAAAGCCTGCAGCTCTAACAGTCAGAAGTAGCTAGAGAAACAGTTCAGTTAGTCAGAATGAACCATTCCAGTCCTGAAATTGTCAATCATTTAGTTATGGATTATATTGCCTGTATGTTTTTCCTTTTCCTAAATAAAGAGGCTAGTTATTTTCTTGCTGTGGGCCCCCTGGATTTCCCTAAACAACTATCTTTTGACATGAAGAATAATTTCGTAAATTATCTCAGCAGGACCTGCTTCCCTGACCAGTTTTTCAAGCACCAGAGGCCATGTTGTGAATGTTAGGAGAAGGTCAGGATACGACCACAAGTTGTATACTGTTGGATACAGATTTTTCTCCAGTTCAAATAGGATGGCGTTACCACCACACACGTACACAGTCACTGCATCCCCTCTGTGAGCATACAACTTCACAATGTTGAGCTCTTCCTTTCCAGGCACTAAGGCAGAGACCTGAT